TCTAAGTTATTCGTGATGGTGATGCAAAAGCAGTGTAATTTCTGTGTGATCTTGTGGCTTGTAGCAAAGTTGTATTGTGTGTTTTAACATGTATCAGCATTGTGCTTGTCAACAAGAGGCTCTATGAAGCATGCAGGATTTTATTCATCATCTTCAAAGCTGGAGCTTAGAGAGGCCATGCCAGGTGGCACAACCAGCAAACGGAGGAGTGAGTATGAACTCATTCACCGCCTTCAAAGCCTGTGTTCAGTAATGCATTCTTACTTGCTGTGTGGATGTCCCAAGTCATTCAACCAATTGGAAGCTCTTTTTCTCAGTTGTGGAACAGAGCAAGAATATCTGATTGTAATAAAGACTATTGAAGGGTGTCCTGAAGTTCCTGATTTAATGTTGATGTTCAGTAAATAGTACTAGTTGCTTTGACTCTGTCCTTTCTTAGGGCAATAAAAGACATTAGACAGACACTACCTCCTACAGTGTTGGGAGAAGACTGATTTACTGTTGGGTATTGTTAGTGAAATTAAGATTTGCTGAGTGAAGCCCAAGGCTCTCATTTTTTTTTTTTTTAAGAGGAAAATGTAGTGTATAATTACAGCTAACGGGCTAAAATGTACTAATTCTTATAGATGAGTGATGATACAGACCTTTATACTCTAAGTAAAGCTACTGCTTTCTTTGCACACAGTGTCCTGTATTACCTTCTTCTCAACATTGGCCAGCAGAATTGAATTCAGAGCTAGTTCCCGTGTGCGCAGCCATATTATCTTGCTACCTCAATGAAACCAGATAGTTAAGGATTTTTCAAGAAGCATGTAGGTACAATTAAGTCTATAGAAAATTGGTGAACAGTACTGACAGATGGATAGAAAGAGTAAAGGGAAAAGTATTGTTCTGCCATTAGTTTGATTTTGGCTGAGCTTGACTCAAGAACCTCTGACGGCTGTTTATCCTTACATGTTGTATATTTACAGAAGATGAGGGACTGCTGTATAACATGTACAGGTTACACTGGTGATAGAAAATAATTACTGCTTCAAACACATGTCGCTATTTAGACTTTCTTTTATAAGTTGTAAAGGATGGGTTATACATATATATATATATGAGTGATTCTGTAGTCTCTCCTTTGACATTCACAGTTTATAGTGATGCTGTATACTACACAATTTAAAGAGCATGGACCTTCTGATGAGTGACTGCCTTACAGAAATAAGTGAAGCTCGTGAAGGATATTTAGTAAGGTGACAACTACTTAGTCACAAGTCCTGACTTCTGTACATTAGACATTTTCCATTTGTTACAGTTTTACTCGGAAACATGGGCGTATGCTCTGAATTGCTGCTATTATTTCAAGGGTTTTGTAGCCTTTAAGAAGTAGGGGACAATAGAAGTAGCTCACTGGGGCAGCACTTTGAAGGTTAGCCTTGCCTGATCTTGTCTATCTTTGCTTTCTGATCTGTCATGTGAACCAGAGGCTGCCTCATGCTTGTACAGTATGGTTAGGTCACTAGATTATGTATTCCTTGCCATGAAGAACTAAAATCCCTCTGAAAATGTGAGTCAAAAGAAACATGGATCGGGGGGGGGGGGTGAGTTATGGTGGAGATTCCACCCAAGCCCCTTGCCCTATCTCCCTGCAAACCCTGCTGCATCTCAGGAAGCCCACCAGATGATGACCCCTCCCCCAGAGATTCTCAAGACCACTCCCTCAGGGCATTTAAACTGTCCCCCAGAAAACAGACTCATGGTTTTCCAGTCTGTCTTTCCTGTCTCTTCTCTGGGGCCTGGAAAGCCATCTGGGAGTGTTGTATCCATTAAACACTTTTTCTTATTTGGTTTGACTTGGTCTGATTGGGATTGCTGCAAGGGTAGAAAGTCTTATCTGGGTGTGGAAACTTTTCAGTGGGATGGGGGGAGGAGGGGAAGGAGGGGGAACTGTGGTTGGTAAATGAATAAAAAATTTAAGATAAAATTATTTTGAAGCCAAAAAAGAATTAACCCTATAGTGGGACAGCATTGGTCCTACTAGACAACTAACAAATAAAAACCCAGTCCCAGAAATAGGTAACTTTTGGAGTTGTTAGACATTGAGGTTCCTCAGACCCATGAACATTTCACGCTGTTGCCTGTGTTCTCAGTAACCCTTCAGAACTGGCCACTTTGCTTTTCTGTTGCCAATAGTGCAGTAAGAGTGTTTGAGCTATATAGAGAGCAGTTTTATTTCGGCTTACCATTCTGGAGGTTCAGGGTTAAAGGACCACACCTGGTAATGGTATTCTTTCTGACAGACCCCATGGTGTGCAGATAGGATGTCACTTGGAAGGCAGGAGTGACAGGGCAGGCACTATTTCTGGTCTTTTTTATAGCCACCAGGATTTCCTTATGCGAGCTCTATTCTAATTACCATATTGAACACTAATCACAAAGGGCCCAGCTCCAAACATCATAGTCAGATTAAGTTTCTTAAGTCCTTCACAATGAAGATTAAATCTCCACACATGGATCCTTGGGGGCATAGTCATACCATATTTAAACTCCAGCAACCACCATTTTGGAAAGGTGCAATAGATAATAGGTAAGATAGAGGTGAAAGATGGTCAGGGTGTGGTCCGACAAGGAAAAGAATAAGTTATTTTCCTACAAATGACACTCAAGAAGGAGACAGAATTCAGGAAGCTGTGTGAGGTTTCTATGTTCTGTGACCTGAAGATAAAGATAAAGACAATTCTGAGAGAGAATGCTGAGAAGTCAGTTGTGAACATTTTTTGAGACTAAGCTAGGATCTCAGCATATACTAGGCATATGGCAGTTTTATTGATGCTGTCTTTGGGATTATAGTCTTTCTGCTTCGTGTATTACCTTTATATAAGTGCTGCAAAGAAAGTATTTAAATTGCTTCTGTTTATCATATTTAAAACAAGAGCCACAGCTTCCCCTGTGTTTTAAGGTTTCTGCATATGAGATTGCTGCGGAATTGAGCTGAATTTCTATTTCTAGTTCATTTTACTTGTATGTTTGCTCCCCTTGATCAAAACAAAGTATAGGATGAGCCTTTTAGTTTATGGTTGCCCTCATTATCTGGATTCTGAATTTTAATGTACTTGTTTATTTTAATAGGGAATAACTGTCCTTTGTCTTCTGGGCTATATTTTTATTTTGTGATGAGACCTTTGACATTGTAATGGTAGTCTGCATATATATAGCTGAACTTTAAAACCTGTGTAAGATGGAGAAGACCTTAAGATCATCTGGGTGTCTAGCATTTGTTAGTTGTTGTCTTATGTATTCACTGTAACAATCCTTTAAGTTGACTTTCCCCAGATCACATACAAAGTAATGGCATGATTGGCTCCAGCAACTCCTTCCTTTATAAATGAGCTTCACAGTTACTATATTCTAATTTTGTGCAATAAAGATGAAGAGCTAATATACTTTCTGCTATTAGAGTCAATTTTTTCTTTGGCATTTAAATTAAATTAGCTTTCATACTGCTTAACACAGTGAAATCATGTGAATTACTGAGTAGAATTCATGTTTAGTGGAAGTCTCTAATGGGTGAAATGCTAGTGCTGTTCATGTTCGTCGTTTATCGCTCAGCACCGTTTTCTTGAATTTTAGATCTAAATGATAACTTTTCTGTATTGGGATTTGTCTGCCTAAAGGAAAGAGTTTGAGAACTGATGCCATTGAAAACCTAAGTGAGCATAATGTATTTATTCCTTTGTCCCAAATTATATAGTATAGTACTCAGTTCTTTTCCTCCCTTTTTTATTTAAATTATTTGAAACAATATTTTTTTTTTTAAACAAAAATATGGAACGCTTCACGAATCCAGTTTTATATATGTGCTGCCGAAGCAAGCACAGCACTCAATTCCAATCTGGTAAACTAAGAGTTTATTTTCTTTCTTTGTTCTAATTTGTATTTTTTACTAAAATTTCCCTTTAGGCCTTAAAAAAATACTATGATGATGGAAAATGTAATTCAAGAGTTAATCACTTAAGTATTTTTAAGTGTACTATGAGGCTTTTTAATTGAATGTATTCTTAGTGTTATGTAGTTACCATCACTACAAGGGACGTTTATTGAAAACGTCCCTTGTTGCAAATAGGATCTCTAGAACGTTTTACCAGTTACTTTCTGGTTTTGGCCTGTCTCATCTGTCTTGCAGCCACCCAGTATAATGCAATAATTGTAATAATCTTCTTAGACTAATTGGATGCTGAGCTTGTCATTGAGTTAGAATAGTTCCCTTTGATTGTGTTTATCTAGCTACTTAGGGAAACTGCGTTGTTTTTTACGTATTGTAATTTTATGTTCGCTTCCTGCGGCAAGGAAATAAATACATTTGCAGTTTGTAGGAGATAAAACTAAGTGATGTAAGCATTCAGACATTTTTATTGGGTAACTAAAGAAACACTGGGAGTTAAGAACTGTGATACACAAAAGAAGGTCTGGCAGTCTCAAATCAATGCATTTTCTTCCCTTCCTGTTAGCTGCTTCAAGCAGGAAACACGCCCAGTGTAAAAGATACTTGGGCCTGTGATCTAAAAGATGTTTATCCCCAAATGCGGATGTAAGCTGGACTCAGGAGAAGGAGGGTCTTAAGACCCTCCTTTCATGTTTGGGTGCAAACAGAAATACAACAGTTTAAAATAAAACCTTACTTTTTAAATAATACTTTGTTCTAGGTTCTATCTTTTTCTTTTGCTAAAACTCGAAATTTTCATGGATACTTTTCTGTTCCTTAACTGTCACATGCTACTATTGCATAGTAAATAAACGGGGACATTATCAGAGACCATTTTTCAGAATATGATTTTTTAATAAAGAATTTAAGGAAAATCATGAAAATCAATTTTAACTCTTATCAGGCAAGGTAATTTTATGTTGCTCTCATAGTATATCAGTGCAGTTTTTTGTATGAATGAAGGGTAGCTATCTGCGCTAGTGTCCCTGTGTTTTACAGAGATGTTTCTAATGAGATTCTGTTTTTGCAGCTGAAAGATGGTGGCAAGGCATCACAGGCACACGTGAAGATAGGAGATGTTGTCCTCAGCATCGACGGGGTTAGTGCACAGGGGATGACTCACCTTGAAGCCCAGAACAAGATTAAGGGTTGCACGGGCTCTTTGAATATGACTTTGCAAAGGTGAGTTGCACTGGGTCAATGAGGGAGGAACTGTCTCTGTGTGTTTGGTTCATGCTGTGTAAGAAGCAGTTTCTATACTGCCATTTCAGGTAAATAAGTAAAAAACGCAGCGCCCCTTCAGTTGGATATTCATGCACCATGTGAAAATTTCCACGTTATCCATATCTTCACGAGCATTGGTTGTATGGTTTTAGACAATTCAAGAATTCCTGAAAATTTTCAGTAGGATTCACACTAAGGATTTTTAATTGTATATTTTTAATCATATACCAAGCAGTATATTAGGGTATGGCCCACTATGCTATGGTAGGGACTTTCTCTACTTTCTTTTTTACCTTTCTTATTTTGAATAGATAATATTTTCTAATATATACACTTGAATACTGGACTTTTTATGACTTTCTTTAATATGTTTTTCTGTCCTCAATAATAAATTGTATTCTTACTCATGAAAAGAAGTCAGATGTTTTGAGCATCCCAACACTGGGCCTGAGTTGCAATCACTATTTTATACTGATTCAGACCTGACATGAGGTTTGGAGTTATATGCAGCGGAGCTCCCTGTTAATGTCACAGATTTAAAGTGAGAGTTGCTGCGGTAACCCTGACTTAGGATGAAGGAGAATCAGCTCTGAATCTTATGTATAAGAATGGAGCCTGATCATTACCAGGGTCATAAGTCCTGGTTTTAATGATTTCTATTAAGAAATAATAGTATTTTTATTCTTTGAGAACTCATGCATACATAGAATGTATTTTGATTATTTACCCTCGCCCCTCTCTAAGTGTTCTCTAGTTTATTATATACCTAACCCCTAAAACAACTCATATTTCCCCATAAACTGTCATGTAAACCATGGCTCTTGAACAAAGAAATAAAAAACATATTTGATAAGGCTAGTGTTCTATGGGGAGCACTTAGGATGTCTCTCTCCTCTTTGCTGATGATGTCTCATGGATTAATATTTAGAGGATTTAGGCAGGACAAAATACACTTGCTTGTTTATATGAATTTTAGTGTAAAATTGAATAGGGAAAAATTTTAATACAGTTTGATTTACAGATCTAGATTTACAGATCTAGTTTGTTTTATTATTGTCTAACCTGGGACCACTGAGTCAGTATATATGTATGTATGTGTCTCACACACACTCACACACACACGCACATACACAGACACACACACGTATATGTAAGCTACACATTTTAATGTATGGAAACATAATCAATGAAAAATAAAACCAGTGTATTGCTAATATTTTCATGCTACCTGTCTATGGAGGCATGCAACATAGACATTGTTACTGTTTAAATGAAGATACTCAGTTTTCTTCATAGGCAGTTTTGCCAAGTTTGAATTTGAAGGGAAACAAGTAGTTAGCTTGACTGAGATATGAAGAATATAAAACAAATACGTGTGATGATGGCTGTTCTCACACCCTAAAACTGAGGCCATTCAGCCATGGACTGTGTGGACTTTGTGGACTGTGTGGACTTTGCGGATTTTGTGGACTTTGTGGACTGTGTGGACTGTGTGGACTTTGTGGACTGTGTGGACTGTGTGGACTTTGTGGACTTTGTGGACTGTGTGGAATGTGTGGACTGTGTGGACTTTGTGGACTGTGGTCTTTCTTTAATTCCAGCTTCCTTGTTTTCATATTGTCCTCTTGGTTTTATAACCCAGACACTGTAGTCCTTATTTTTATAAATCAGGACTCAGTATTTTATTTTATTTTATTTTGAAAACACCGAGTCTCATAAGAATAGATGAAAACCAGATGTTGCCCTGTTTGGATGTGTTTCCAACTCCAGCAGTCTGCTACTGACTCTAATAAAGCTACTGAAGTACAAAATCTGACTAACGTACAAAACCAACTCAATATTATAAACATTTGGGGGGATTCTGTTCTGTTGAATCTTATCTTTCTTTTTCCAACATGGATATTCAGGGACCCAGAATATAAGACAGAGTTTTAGAGTTCTATTGTAATTAATTATAGTTCTTTTCGTGTTTCTGGACATAACTTGTATTGTGTAATATGAGCTCTTTATGATACTACCTGTAACTTTGTGCATTTCTCTCTCTCTCTCTCTTTTTTTTTTGTTGTTGTTGTTCAGTTTCCATTGGCTTGTTACTTACCTTTTAGAACAGACTGGCCAGTTAGGCACTAACCTGCCTGTTTCCATCTCCTCAGTGCTAGGATTATGAGTATGGGCCATCACCTCTGGCTTTTTTCATAGGTTTTCATAGGTCCTTTGGCTTGTGTGTCAATCACTTTGTGACAGAACTCTCTCTCCAGCTCTATTATGGATATTTTTTTAAAGCATAGTACATAACATTGACAACTCTACTGAAAAATTACTTTTGCATTTTTTTTTTTTTTTTTCCTTTTCTTTTTGGTTTTTTCAGACAGGGTTTCTCTGTATTGCTTTTGGGCCTGTCCTGGAACTAGCTCTGTAGACCAGGCTGGCCTCAAACTCACAGAGATCCGCCTGCCTCTGCCTCCGAGTGCTGGGATTAAAGGTGTGCGCCACCAATGCCTGGCTACTTTTGCTTTTTGAACAGAAAATATAAACTGAAGACTTATCATTGGGTCTTTCTTCCCAAGGCCCACTCTCATTTTCCAGTCCTTTTACTTATATCAGCAAATACCCTGAACTTGGGTACTGTTGTTAACTCTTTTCCTTGCAGTCAGACTGTTTGTTCTTAATTCTGTTTCCACACTGAATTACCCACAAGGTGCTTGTGCTGTGGAACTTTTTTTTTTTTTTTTTTTTTAAATAATATTCTATGCAGATTTGTCTTTATCCTATTTTCCTAGAATCAGAATGTGAGAATAAGACTCCTGCAAGTGTCTTTTTAAAATGGTACACACAAGATTGTGAGTCATGCAGGGTTAGGAAGCAGGGGGAGAGCAGTTGGACAAAGATGTGATTTCATGGGGGATACCTCCCTTCTTGGATCTAGCAGGAAGCTTGGGAACAAAATGGCAACTTCCTTTATTTTGCCTTGAATTAGGGAACTGGACTTTGCTTCCCTTGTGCTGTTTTTGGTGACTAGCTCTCTTGGAGGGGCTAGGTAAGGAAGGGAAGCAGCAGGGTGGGATTAGAAGGTAGTTTCTTTTGGGTCCACCCAAAATTGCTAGTGCGAACCTTTAGGAGCAGTGCAGGCCCTAGGGGTTTGGTGTGCTGGGTACAGGCTGGGCAGCAGCCTATTGTGAGGGTTTTGCCCATACCTGAGGCCTCTGCTTACAGGGTTGTACTCTGTTTTTATTAGGGCTGGCTTGTCCTCTGTGGTCACCATTAGTCCTCACTGACTGCCCTCCATTCTGTTTGACAGTGGTTTTCACTTATCTCTCTGCAGCCTCATCAAATTCTTTTTGTCTGTTTGTTGCCAATGAATGCTATTATATCTACAAAACCCACTTGGATCCTCATCTCCTGCTGTGCTAGCTTGCTGTTCTGTACCTGTGACAAAACATGGACCAAAAACAGTTTGGGGGAATGAAGGGTTTATTTGGCTCACAGGTTACAGCCGATGGCTGAGGGAAGTCAGGACAGAGACTCAAGGCCAGAGCCAAAGCATGAACTGTAACAGAGACCATGACAGAATGCTGCTTGCTTGCTGGCTTTCTCCCCATGACTTGCCCCGTTTCCTTTCTTACACAAACAGGATCACAAACCAGGGTGGCACTGCCCACAACAGCTGGGTCATTAACCAGGCCAATCTGATGGAGGCTGCCTTACTTAGGATTTATTTATTTATTTATTTCTGTGAAGAGACACCTGCTATGAAGGGAAGCATTAAATTGGGGCTGGCTTTCAGTTCAGAGATTCACTCCATTATTGTCATGGAGGGAAGCATGTCAGCACCCAGACAGACGTGGTGCTGGAGAAGAAGCAGAGAGTTCTATTTGGAAATTGGCAGGAAGAGCATCTGAAACCTCAAAGCCCACCCCTTGGTACACTTCCTCCATCAAAGCCTCACCTCCAGTAATGTCACTCCGTAGGAGCCTATGGAGTGATTTCTTTCACACCACCACAGAGGCATTTCCTTAATCGAGGGTTCCTTTTCCCAGTTTGTGTGTCCAGTTGACTAAAAACTCACTAGCACACTTGTCTGTGGTCTCTCCACTGCCACAACCTACTCATTTTCCCTCTCTGGACTTGAACAAAACAGTTGCTCATTTCTGCATTCAATTGCATGCTAGGTACAATCTGAAATATTCAGGCTAATTTCATGGGTCATTTACAAATAAACCTAATTAGTTAATGGTCGTACCTGGTGCTGTCTGTTCTTAGGCTAATTATCCCATGAATTTTAGCTCTCCTTCTTCGTCTATAATTTGTGAAAGCAATACCATGCTTTATGCACTATTTATATTTGATGGTAATGTAGAAGTTTGTGTTTTAATGTACAAGGAATAATTATTTGGTATGTCAGCATTGCTTAACAAAGTTAGAATTATGTTTTTATTACATAAATATTTATTGAACTTTACTACAACACAGGCATTGATGTAGATGTTGTGAACAAAACAGACCCTCAAAAATGTCTTCCCTCATAGTGATGTCTGTGGGCAGACAAAAGTCCAGAAAACTGAGTGTATAACATGCATTGATGGCAATAAGTACCATCAAGGGGGAAAAGCATTCAGGGGAGATGGAAAGTGCAGATGTAGAGATTGTTATTTAAAATGGTGGTAAGGAAAGCTAGACTAGCTTATTGGGCCTCTGGAGCTCCGGTAACTGAGGCAGAGGGACAAGATAACACATTTGCTTTTCAGAGCACTGTAAGTGAAGGCAGTATTGTGCAAGGTGAAGTCAGAGTGTAAAAAGGGGGCAGAGGTAGATAGAACCTGTAGGGGTCATTATAAGTTTACTAGTGTAATTTACATTTGTTTTTAATCCTGTAGGGGAGGAAAGACATGAGAAACTTCTGGAAAGTTATAACTGCTAGAGCAGAGTTTGGGAGATAAAGTGACTTTGATACTGAAAAA